TGAGTGGGGCTTCCTCAGAGGAGGTTATTTGAAACGTCGTGTAGGAGCATTTTTCCAGTTGCAAGGGAGGGGTTACGAGCCGCAACCTTAGACACCCACCCCCTACCATACCGGGGCTTATTGCCCTCTTTCACGAGATGGCATAAGACCTTGAGTATGACTCAACGCTCGTCACTGGTCTCTTTCTTAATCCGGTCTAATACTGGGAATTCAAGCGATAAGATTCACTGAGTGATTTGGTTACGTTTCGTCGCTCAACCCGTCTTAGGTGCTAAAGTGGCGATCCCGACGTGATTCATACACGCAACCTGCTACAAGCTTACTACAATTGACCGATCGATTCCGTATGAAATCTGATGGCAAAACGGAGAATGTTGTACTGGAGCTGTCCAAATGTTGCATTGATTTTTGCCAGGTAGGTTTGAAGAAAATTTCACAGACGTATAATGATTTGATGAAGCTTTCCGTCTCCATTGTTAGTGCTACGATGTTTGGTAATCTAGGATTGCGTATTAATCTGTAATCACCATATCCTCATGATCCTACCGTTACTTTAGTTGCTACACCAATCGCAATGGCCCATGGTGATGACTGTGGTCATTTGAACAATTCCAAATTTCTGAACGTCTACATAAGATAACGAATCACGTTTCAGTGACAGCTGTGCAACGAGTATACATGCACCACGATACCGCTTCCAAGAAACGAAGTTCACGACCAATCAAGTAGCTCCTATCGGATTGGTTGACGGAAAGGTAACCAAACGGATCGAATCGTAGTCGATCGGGCAGCAAAGAATAAGTTCGGTGTCGTATTGAACCGGACGACACCACAGCTACCTATTACCAAAGTTGGGGCTCGAACCATAAGGTTCAAAGCACGCTAGTGACAGCGACTAAGCCACCGCCCAAGTGCAGTCCACCTAGTTGACCGCCCAACAGCATTTGCCAGTTTCCTCTAGGACATGCATTGCATAATAGAAGAGACCGAATTTGGTAGTCTGTGCACATTTGTGAATCCCACGCTGCCCGAGAAATGGGCGTATTGCCAAAGACTTCTGAAACATCTGTCTGTTTAGCAAAAACAGATGTTAACGGCCTACTGGGAAATAAGTAAAAAGGGGCCACGAAATCCGTGTGTGTGTGTGTGTACGTTTTGAGCTTAATGCGGGGATGCTTGAAGGCTACTTTCGGACCATAACCTCTGTGTGCACACCCAGTCTCTTCCGATCGACGTTCTGCGCCGGTCAAATCATAGCGTTTCTTTCTTTTACCAAAATAGCGTTTTCCATATTGGATAGAAAATAATTGAAGAATAAAATACTTGGGCTTGGTTTTGTCTCTGACGAATGTCAGACATCGTTGGAAATTAAACCACAATCGACTGTCGGGATGAGACGCACACGGGCGGGAATGACGATACCATGCTCGAGGAATTCCGTTACATAGTTTCTTACTGGATAGCTGACAACCGAAAGAAAGGAATGGGGCGGACCAAGATCAGCTGTTATCAGGCTGCGTCGGATTCGTCACATGTTACGGATCTCCCTCTCCGTCCGATGTACGCACCTTCATACCATGACATACAAACACACACACCACACGACTCAATTTAAACCACGTCCGAACTAGTTGTTGCATTGATTACCACGTTCATGTCCGCGTGATTATTGGAAGCATATGTGCTCTGATTTCCATGTGTTGTATTGCTTGCGTGGATGGTATTTTTCAATTACACACCCGTGTGATGAATAGTCGTCACCGGGACCTGTTGTTCAGTCATAGAAATCGGTGAGCCTCGGGAAGATGACTATCGAATTACATCAGGTCCCGCTATGCAAGGTGTGGTATTGGACTAGATACGCTCTACAGTCAAAACCGAGACCTCGACAGATAACCGTGTGAAATGGATCGGAAGGAGCACATGTTTCCACACCGGTTTTCAGCGCCATCCTAGGGGCGATATATTACAAAGTACATTCGAGTGTAACGGTAAGTACACAACTGCACAGCACACAAATCAATCATGGCGAGATTTCCAAACGAGTAAAAACGCCTTAGTCACTAGGAGATCCACTACCGATTGGCTATGAGAACCACGGACAGCCTAACTCAGGGGCTTGGAGCGATTTGTAGTAGACCATTGCCCCGGCTGACAGTGAAGCTATCTATCAAAAAAAGCTCGAACCACCGAACACAAGGACAAAAGTGAGGCGGAATGAGACAGGTCTATCATCATCATCATCAATATTCACGACTGTGAGCATGGGTAAGAGGAAATGCAGCAACGAAGACGATCACAATGAATATAACCAAAACAAAACATGTACAGATTACTGTCATGAATAATAAAAAAAAACACGGTTCGACTGATACAATAAGACAAAATCACAGAAGGAAAAAATAAATACAGAATGACAAACAAAAACAACACAAAAAGGGAATGACATCTGGTCCGGTGTGACACGGCAGAAAGAGCACACAAACAGAAATGGCACAAAGTGGACAGAACATGATGTGTATGTGGGGGTGGGGTGAGGGCGGTTTAGAGTTCTGAAAAAAGACAAAACTATAAAACAAAAAAGACAATCACAGAGTTCGCGACTGTTACTTACTGTTCCATCAAATGCCTGGTGTGTAAGAATTGTGCAAGTGTGTTTGATACCAGAAGATGTTTGACAGGGATTAGTGCCTGACCGCACCACATGTCGAGCTGTATGTGATCGGTGGGTGGAATATGTGTTTGTGGTGACTGTGTTGCATGCGTGGAGGAACTCGGGTAGAAATGTTGGATCAGGCAATCTAGCCAGTGTAAAAAGCCGAATAAGGTTTTATCAAAACTGCAGTGACTGTGACCGGTACGAGCATCGTCCTTTAATCCACCGGTAATGGACGAATGTTCTGTTTCGTGCACATCATTCTCGGGAGCGTTGAGAGGTAGAACCGGATCCGTAGGTGTTGTTGTTTTGTTGTCTACCGGCTACACCATTCCGATAACGGAACAGAACGGAGAGGGGGTGGGGGAGGTGGTAGGATTATGAAATAACGTTGACAGAGCAAAACGGTATAAACAATTTGGGGTCGTTAATGGCGTAAACAGTACTCGAAATAATAGGAAAGCTCATTCTCTTCTTCGGCACATTTTTATGACAAGGCCTTGCAACACACAGGCTTGCATGGTAAGTTTATCGTGCGGGCAATAATACATTTGGCAGCCGAAATGGCTTTATTTTCGCATTCGTCGAGGAAAAAGAAACAGCCATCCACACAAACTATGACCAAGCAAATATATACATATGTCTCACATCGGCTTGGAGAAAAACATGGTACCAGTGCAAGAACAATGATAAAATGGTAGTCCGGAGTACAGCTTGATAAAAAGAAAACGGGGAAAAAGAGAGAACGAATGAGTGAATTTTCTTGCTAGTTTCACCGTAAGCTTTGCGATATTATTTGTTCACTATGAGTTATCGGGTTTCAACAAACAAAGGTACAACAGTTTAGCCACTGACTTCAATTCTGAGCCACATCGCTCGGCGCTTCTAATCATCGGAAATACTCATCACTTGGGCTCCAACTTAAAAACCAATGTTGAGGCTAACTTTTTCATACCTGTACACTAAGTCACGGTTCGACCACTGCAGAGGTTCTTCCTGGACGGAACGCTAACCCCAGTCGGCTATCCTCAACTCCAGTGGTATATAAAACGTACAAATCACAGGGCTACATAAGCATCCGGCTTAAACCGGACTCAAATCGCTGTGAATCTTCTTGAGAACTGAGAGAGTCCATGAACAAAAACCGAGACCAGTCTCTATTAAGACTGAGAGACAGAGGCGCCCTCAGAAGGCTTGGACAAACAGAGCAAACTACAGTTTCTGGATACGGAATGAAATGCCATCTAAGATTCGCTCGTTGGGGAAGACAGAGTAGTGTACTTGTTCCATATATAGCCAGTTTAGTGAATTGGTGTGTAGACAGTCTATTGCAATTGTATAGGCGATAGAATTGGAAAATATTATATCGATATTTGTGAGATAGCCCAAACATTATCGATTCGAGCGTGTTATTTGAATTTTCAATCAGGTACCAGCTATGGCGGAAGATACGTACTGAAATAATAACCCCTTTTCTTAGAAACTTGATCTACAACACAAATTCAGCGTACGTGTATCTTGTAATGGGTGGTGGCGGCGCAGTCGTTTAGTTACTGTCACCGGCGTGCTTTGGACCCTGTGGTCCGGGGTTCGAGCCCCGCCACCACTACCCTACTTTGGTGATAGTCCGTTTTGCTGTTCTATACCACACCTGGGCTAGTGGGGCCTTATACGGTTCGCCACTCCAAGTCCCAGGGCTAAGGGTGTCGATTACCATCACTGAAAAGCAGGTCTTCGTGACTATGGGGTCCTCCCCGTCTGCTGTACATCAGACACTGGTGATTAATAAGAAAAATTGCACTCGTATTTGGAGTTGTAACCTGATTTCAAAAAGCGAATTTGTCTATTCGGGTTCATCCCATGCAAGTGCACAAACCTCATTTATGATAGCACCCAAAATCAATCGGTCGAACCAGCGCGCGAACAAATCACCCAGAATCGACCAGTCCATTTGACCCGATTCTTCTGAGCTGGACCGGTTCGTGGAAGGATGTGGTGGGAATTTGGTGCGGTCCAGAAATGCGTCAAACGAGATTCGCTCGAGGTCAGAACCGGAACGAGTAAAAGATGGGTTTTGAGTGGTACAGACAGACTGCATAGCCACCTGGTGATCCAGAATGAGATAGGCCAAAATGCGCAATGCAATAATCATTGTGTTTGCCATCTGTAGGGTGGAAACCGAATGAGGGGGGGAGGGAGGCGGGAGGAGCGGAATTGTGTGAGTGCTTCATGTAAAAGAGTGAAAAGAAAAGGAAAAAAAAACTGAATTCGCAGCTGCGGAAACCGGACTTGGAGTAAGCTTTCTCGAGGCGTAGGTAGATGTGTAAATTATTGCAGTGATTTGGCTTGATCTTATTTTGGCACAATACGACAGATGACTTGTACCACTTTCATATAAAAGTAATTCAGAACAGGCAGAGTTTAACTTTGTCATAGATTTAATTATTGAAACAAGCCTATCCTCGTGCGTGGATAGCGGTATCGATTTAACCCAGGTGGCAAACTGTATGCAGACGACATTGTGCTACTAATTGACGATCCAGGTAAGTTGCAAGCTTTTCTGGATTG